GAAATAACTTAGAAGGGAGGGTATGGTTATCAATACATGTTTGAGAAAAGTTCAGCAAACATCTTTTGATTTATTTTCGGAGCAATTCTCTTTTTTATGATTAGATTCCTAAGTGGCGTAGTTCGCAGGCGCCGTGTGCTTAGTTGGATTAAAGCGCCTGTCTAGTAAACAGGAGATCACGAGTTCGAATCTCGTCGGTGCCTTCTTAAATAGCTTTTAAATTTTGTATTGTTACAAATCAGTGGTGGTTCGTTCACTCATGTCATTGTATTTAGAAAAACATTATTTCTAATGCTAGGCTTGCACTGAAATAACTTAGAAGGGAGGGTATAGTTTTGAGAAAAAGTTCAGCCACCATCTTTTGATTTATTTTCAGGCAATTCTCTTTTATTTATGATTAGCAGATTCCTAACATATGTTGTTCGCAGGCGCCGTGGCTTAGTTGGTTAAAGCGCCTGTCTAGTAAACAGGAGATCACGAGTTTCGAATCTCGTCGGTGCCTTGGTAAAGAACTTTAAATTTTGTATTGATACGGATAAGTAATTGTTCATTTGCTCATGACATTTTATACAAAAACCTTTTTGTCCAATGCTAGTCGTTTAATACGGAAAAACTTAGAAGGGCGAGGGATAGTTTTTAATGTATTTTTAGTAAAGTTCGTTTTCCTTCATTTGATATATTTTAGGTGCAATTCTCCTTATTTATGATTAGCAGACACAAAACATGCATGTATGACGCAAAGGCCGTGGCTTAGTCGGTTAAAGACATTGTCTAGTAAACAGAAATTCGCGAGTTCGAATCTCGTGGAGTGCCATAGTAAAGAGTTTTAAACTTTGTATTCATACAAATCGGTGGTGGTTCGTTAACTAATGTCATTGAATTTAGAAAAAACATTGTTCTAATGCTAAGCGTGCAATACGAAACAACTTAGAAGAGTATAGTTTATGACTGCAAATTTTGAGAAAAGTTCAGCCACCATCTTTTGATTTATTTCTGGAGCAATTCGTTTTATTTATAATTAGCAGACTCAAAACAAGTATGTTGTTCGCAGGCGCCGTGGCTTAGTTGGTTAAAGCGCCTGTCTAGTAAACAGGAGATCACGAGTTCGAATCTCGTCGGTGCCTTAGTAAATACGTTAAATTTTGTATTGATACAAATCAGTGGTGGTTCTTTCACTAATGCCATTGTATTTAAAAAAACATTGTTTCTAATGCTAGGCTTGCACTACGAAATAATTTAGAAGGGAGGGACACTTTATCAATGCAATTTTTGAGAAAAGTTCAAAACCATCTTTTGATTTATTTTTGGAGCAATTCTCTTTATTTATGATTAGCAGATTCTAACATGCATGTTAGTTCGCAGGCGCCGTGGCTTAGTTGGTTAAAGCGCCTGTCTAGTAAACAGGAGATCACGAGTTCGAATCTCGTCGGTTTTCTTAAATAGCTTTAAATTTTGTATTGTTACAAATCAGTGGTGGTTCGTTTCAAAATGTCATTGTATTTAAAAAACATTGTTTCTAATGCTTAGGCTTGCACTTGAAATAACTTAGAAGGGAGGGTATAGTTTATCAATACAATTTTTGAGAAAAGTTCAGCCACCATCTTTTGATTTATTTTCGAGCAATTCTCTTTATTTATGATTAGCAGACCTAACATGTATGTAGTTCGCAGGCGCCGTGGATTAGTTGGTTAAAGCGCCTGTCTAGTAAACAGGAGATCACGAGTTCGAATCTCGTCGGTGCCTTCTTAAATAGCTTTAAATTTTGTATTGTTACAAATCAGTGGTGGTTCTTTCACTCATGTCATTGTATTTAGAAAAACATTGTTTCTAATGCTAGGCTTGCACTACGAAATAACTTAGAAGGGAGGGTATAGTTTATCAATACAAGTTTTGAGAAAAGTTCAGCCACCATCTTTTGATTTATTTTCGGAGCAATTCTCTTTATTTATGATTAGCAGATTCCTAACATGTATGTAGTTCGCAGGCGCCGTGGCTTAGTTGGTTAAAGCGCCTGTCTAGTAAACAGGAGATCACGAGTTCGAATCTCGTCGGTGCCTTCTTAAATAGCTTTAAATTTTGTATTGTTACAAATCAGTGGTGGTTCTTTCACTCATGTCATTGTATTTAGAAAAACATTGTTTCTAATGCTAGGCTTGCACTAGAAATAACTTAGAAGGGAGGGTATAGTTTATCAATACAAGTTTTGAGAAAAGTTCAGCCACCATCTTTTGATTTATTTTCGGAGCAATTCTCTTTATTTATGATCAGCAGATTCCTAACATGTATGTAGTTCGCAGGCGCCGTGGATTAGTTGGTTAAAGCGCCTGTCTAGTAAACAGGAGATCACGAGTTCGAATCTCGTCGGTGCCTTCTTAAATAGCTTTAAATTTTGTATTGTTACAAATCAGTGGTGGTTCTTTCACTCATGTCATTGTATTTAGAAAAACATTGTTTCTAATGCTAGGCTTGCACTACGAAATAATTTAGAAGGGAGGGTATAGTTTATCAATACAAGTTTTGAGAAAAGTTCAGCAACCATCTTTTGATTTATTTTCGAGCAATTCTCTTTATTTATGATTAGCAGATTCCTAACATATATGTAGTTCGCAGGCGCCGTGGCTTAGTTGGTTAAAGCGCCTGTCTAGTAAACAGGAGATCACGAGTTCGAATCTCGTCGGTGCCTTCTTAAATAGCTTTAAATTTTGTATTGTTACAAATCAGTGGTGGTTCTTTCACTCATGTCATTGTATTTAGAAAAACATTGTTTCTAATGCTAGGCTTGCACTACGAAATAACTTAGAAGGGAGGGTATAGTTTATCAATACAAGTTTTGAGAAAAGTTCAGCAACCATCTTTTGATTTATTTTCGGAGCAATTCTCTTTATTTATGATTAGCAGATTCCTAACATATATGTAGTTCGCAGGCGCCGTGGCTTAGTTGGTTAAAGCGATGTCTAGTAAACAGGAGATCACGAGTTCGAATCTCGTCGGTGCCTTAGTAAAGAACTTTAAACTTTGTATTCATACAAATCGGTCGTTGTTCGTTAACTAATGTCATTGAATTTAGAAAAACATTGTTCCTAATGCTAGCGTGGAATACGAAACAACTTAGAAGGGAGAGTATAGTTTATGACAAATTTTGAAAAAATTTCAGAAAACCGTCTTTTGAATTATTTCTGGAGCAATTCGTTTTATTTATAATTAGCAGACTCACAACATACATGTTGATCGCAGGCGCCGTGGCTTAGTTGGTTAAAGCGCCTGTCTAGTAAACAGGAGATCACGAGATCGAATCTCGTCGGTGCCTTAGTAAAGAACGTTAAATTTTGTATTGATAGAAATCTGTCGTGATTCGTTAACTAATGCCTTTGAATTTAAAAAAACTTTGTTTCGAATGCTAAGCTTGCAGTACGAAAAATTTAGAAGAGAGAGGACACTTTATCAATGCAATTTTTAAGAAAAGTTCTAAAACCCTCTTTTGAATTATTTTTGGAGCAATTCTTTTTATTTATAATTAGCAGACTCACAACATGCATGTTGATCGCAGGCGCCGTGTCTTAGTTGGTTAAGACGCGTGTCTAGTACACAGGAAATCATGAGTTTGAATCTCATCCTTTCCTTAAAGAGCTTTAATTTTAGTATTGACACAAATTAGTGGTGTTTCGTTTGCAAATACCATTGTATTCAAAAGAACACTTTTTCCAATACTTATCGTGCAATACGATACAACTTAGAAAGGAGAAGATAGTTTTTCTAAGCAATTTTTGAGAAAAATTCGGAATATTTCTTTTGAATTATATTTTCCGAGCAATTCTCTTTATTTCAGATTATCTGACGCAAAACATGAACAAAGTTCGTTGGCGCCGTGGCTTAGTTGGTTAAAGCGCCTGTCTAGTAAACAGGAGATCACGAGTTCGAATCTCGTCGGTGCCTTCTTAAATAGCTTTAAATTTTGTATTGTTACAAATCAGTGGTGGTTCGTTCACTCATGTCATTGTATTTAGAAAAACATTGTTTCTAATGCTAGGCTTGCACTACGAAATAACTTAGAAGGGAGGGTATAGTTTTGAGAAAAGTTCAGCAACCATCTTTTGATTTATTTTCGGAGCAATTCTCTTTATTTATGATTAGCAGATTCCTAACATGTATGTAGTTCGCAGGCGCCGTGGCTTAGTTGGTTAAAGCGCCTGTCTAGTAAACAGGAGATCACGAGTTCGAATCTCGTCGGTGCCTTCTTAAATAGCTTTAAATTTTGTATTGTTACAAATCAGTGGTGGTTCTTTCACTCATGTCATTGTATTTAGAAAAACATTGTTTCTAATGCTAGGCTTGCACTACGAAATAACTTAGAAGGGAGGGTATAGTTTATCAATACAAGTTTTGAGAAAAGTTCAGCAACCATCTTTTGATTTATTTTCGGAGCAATTCTCTTTATTTATGATTAGCAGATTCCTAACATATATGTAGTTCGCAGGCGCCGTGGCTTAGTTGGTTAAAGCGCCTGTCTAGTAAACAGGAGATCACGAGTTCGAATCTCGTCGGTGCCTTCTTAAATAGCTTTAAATTTTGTATTGTTACAAATCAGTGGTGGTTCGTTCACTCATGTCATTGTATTTAGAAAAACATTGTTTCTAATGCTAGGCTTGCACTACGAAATAATTTAGAAGGGAGGGTATAGTTTTGAGAAAAGTTCAGCCACCATCTTTTGATTTATTTTCGGAGCAATTCTCTTTATTTATGATTAGCAGATTCCTAACATGTATGTAGTTCGCAGGCGCCGTGGCTTAGTTGGTTAAAGCGCCTGTCTAGTAAACAGGAGATCACGAGTTCGAATCTCGTCGGTGCCTTCTTAAATAGCTTTAAATTTTGTATTGTTACAAATCAGTGGTGGTTCTTTCACTCATGTCATTGTATTTAGAAAAACATTGTTTCTAATGCTAGGCTTGCACTACGAAATAACTTAGAAGGGGAGGGTATAGTTTATCAATACAAGTTTTGAGAAAAGTTCAGCAACCATCTTTTGATTTATTTTCGAGCAATTCTCTTTATTTATGATTAGCAGATTCCTAACATAAAAATGTAGTTCGCAGGCGCCGTGGCTTAGTTGGTTAAAGAGATGCTCTAGTAAACAGAAATTCGCGAGTTCGAATCTCGTCGGTGCCTTAGTAAAGAACTTTAAATTTTTTATTAATACAAATCAGTGGTGGTTCGTTAACTAATGTCATTGAATTTAGAAAAACATTGTTCCTAATGCTAAGCGTGGAATACGAAACAACTTAGAAGGGAGAGTATAGTTTATGACTGCAAATTTTGAAAAAATTTCAGAAACCGTCTTTTGAATTATTTCTGGAGCAATTCGTTTTATTTATAATTAGCAGACTCACAACATACATGTTGTTCGCAGGCGCCGTGGCTTAGTTGGTTAAAGCGCCTGTCTAGTAAACAGGAGATCACGAGATCGAATCTCGTCGGTGCCTTAGTAAAGAACGTTAAATTTTGTAT